GGAAATTCTTCTTCGTTTATCGTTTGTTTTTCGAGAGGTCGTCTTACTCTCTATAGAAATTTTCCTCCAGCGTGTAACTTGACCACAAAGATCGAAATCGACAGCTGTAATGTTACGAAAACTTTAATTAGAGTTGAGTTCGCTGACGCGTTCTTTAGGATGAATTTCTAGAGTTTACCTCACTCTATTTTTCTTAGGAACAACTTGGTCATCAATCTGTCCGAACATCTGATCTCCACTTACCAAGAGAAACGCTTAATTGGACATGGCAGGAATAAGTAGACAAGATATAAATGTACAAAATAAAGCGAGTTCATGCCTGTTACAGATAAAATTTGGCTGTATGATAACGACTTACTACACCTGGTCACGTCTAGAAGGCGAATCACGGTCGAGGAATCCTCAATGGGAAGTTGAACCTGCCCAGATAAATGATGATAGGTAGGTTTTCAGAATTTACGACAGCGATCGCAAGGCAACCTCAATCGCACAACCCCACACCTTCCTTAGGCTACACAACATCCTCGTTCTGCAACGAGCATCACCAAATGAATCTTGAGTGCGATTCTCCAAATGATGGCGCATAATGCTGATTTGATTATCCCACGCGGCATTCATTTGAGCCCGCGACCTTTGAACAGCAGATTCTCTAACAGCAGACCAAATACAAAAGGAAGGAAGTGGTCCTAACTAGAAGCGGCAGCGGTCTTTTAGGAGGAACAAACATTACAGATACAATGACATTTGAAAACTTGAATAGCAACGTTTCAAGACCTTCGCAGAATTAGAAATGCGTTTTGCACTTTTCTGCCAAGTCTTTGCCGCTAAGGTCAGAACACATGTTGAGAAAAGTCATTCATTCGAACGATCTCAGAAATGAATGGTAAATGCTTAGACGCAGGCCCAAGGAGGACGATGTATGTAAGCCACTCACGGTGCGACTGAACTTAAGCTGTATAAGGTCACCTTCAGGAGACGCTGTTTCGGGGAGAGAGCTCATGCGCAGAACATTGCATCGCTTTAAAGGTTAACTATACGAACTCTCTTTCCCCTTATTTTTGGCCAAGCATGATTTAGGTGGATGGTGATCAAGGCTTACGAACGTAAGTCGCGGAATCCTACCTGACAAGGAAACAAGGAAGGGGATGGTGCCTACCTCAACATCAGGCTCACCTTTCCCCACATTAAAGCCTGATGAATTCTCAGATTGCCACGCTTTTGCCGACATTTGCAATGCGTTATCTCTTCCATTAGGGAACTGGAGGTCGACGGACTACTCGAATTCGATCCTTTAAGCCGCCTTAACTCGATGCTCTTGTCTGCGCTCTTCGCCTTATCACGGCTGATGATTGGCTCACCCACCTCGGAGTCCCTCCCCCCTACAAGGCTTAGTCCTAGGGCTCTCACCTCCTTCCTTGGGATTTGGAGCCGAGCCAGGCGCCGTTCTCTGATCGTCTGTGCTCTCCGCCATTCGTGGCAGGACCATGGAAGAAAGTTCAAGTAGTCCGGTAAATCGTATAAATTATAGAAA